CAATATCGAAGAAAACGAACCATGCCATTGACTTGGAAGGACCATACTAATAATACCCGTTATTTGCAATCATAATTTTTTTTATATTAATCAATATTATATATGTGTTATATTAGCAAAGATTAATCTCCGTGAATACTTTTTTTATTTGTTATTTATTGTACTGAGCTGTAACAAAGATAAATACTATTAATATGATTTTTATTCGGGTTGATATTTCGGCTTATTTTTTACGTATTTATTTTTTTATAAAATTTTCGTATATATCGGTATTGGTTAACATCAAAAATAAATGTTATACGTACCAGTTACACAAAACAAGCCACAGCCACTCACGTGCCCGAGGTTTTTTGTTGGTTGCGCTGGGGGAGTTAAAATAAATGTTATACGTACCAGTTACACAAACCAAGCCACAGCCACTCACGTGCCCGAGGTTTTTTGTTGGTTGCGCTGGGGGAGTTGCATCATATATAAAACCTAAATTTAAAGTGCGATATGTTGAATCTGAGGCTTGAACATGGATCATTTTTACTTTTCATCTTTCATCGACTTAGCCATGTAAATAAAATTTTATATAAATATGCATTAAACTCAGTGAACTTGCTGCTATATAAAATATGAACCGATTTGAATACCTTTTTCTAAAAAACTTCATGTGTGATTTAAAGCATTATTATGATTTATCAGTCTATCATTAAAATCCAACGCCCAGATTATTTGTTTGTGTTTATTCTATTTCTTTCATTTTTTGTTATATACATATATTTGTTATAAAATGCCTTCATATGTTACTCTAGTTTTTATTAGGTACACACATCCGCCATAGATAATACTCACTAAATAGTACGGGTGCTCAATTAATTTCGTTTTTTTTTATTAAAAAATGTGATTTTCACCTATAGGCTAAAAATTGAGACATTAACTGTGACAATTAGCCAATAAAATTGTATTAATTTTCACTATAACAAAGGAACGAATATATTTTTCTTAAAGTAGCATAGGATCTAAAATGTGAAACGATTCATTAAAGTCATAATCTCTATTTGTGTTAAGCCGTTTTTACATTATATACGTATACATTTCGAAACATTGTTTCTAGAAATCTGTAAACACAAATAAACAAATTACTAACTGATCATTTTGTAAGAAAAATCTCGATTTTTTTTTTACACATTAGATATGTAATAGAATTCAAGGTAAGAATTTGGCTCAACATTATATGATCTGGTGTCAAGGTAATAGATATATGATGTAATTTTAAATGCATTTACTTAGATGCATAAAACTTGTTTCTCTATGCGATTGTAGACAGAGTTTCAGTCAAAATGTTTAATCAAACATTTATATCAAACTGGTTTCTTTATTCACTTTCTCAGTCATTGTTATTCTCTAATAGGAAAACTTGACATATCAATCCTAACTTCCACAATTTGTGTGCCTTTCTTGCGTTGTTCTCTGTCAGGTTTGCCTGGATGTGGAGGAAGTCTACCTGACAACTTTGATGTACCCTCATTGTCTTCATCCTGTAATTGTTCAATCATCTTTGCTGTATTAATCAAACCTTCCTAAATAAGCGAAGAGAAATCAATAATTAAAGCACGGCAAGAAAAAAAAACATCTGCAAAAATACTAAAATATACCCTTAGATCCCAGAGCAAGACCACGAAATCAAAAAGACATTTTTTTTGCTCTTAATAGCATATCGGAACAATTGTTTTATGTGTACGTTCCTATCATAAAATTCCTCGAGCACGACTGTTAACTTACCTCATAAAATGACTCTCAATTTCGGCCGCCACTTTTAAAAGATCAATTACTGCCAAACCAGACTTTAAAGTCCACTGATTGTAGTCAAAAGGTTGTTCATCATTCTCAACGTCGCATTCTTCATCAGTTTCTACGATAAAGAGTTCCGGATCCAACTCTTGTCCATCATATTTGCTGAAAAATATTCTTCCTGATAAGTATCAAAACGAAGAAATTTAATTCAACAAGTTATATTGTACCGGGTATTATAAAAGTCACTACGCAGTCGAAATTACGATGATGATTATGTCGTAATTTTTACATAACGTCACTAAGAGGAAGAAAAAGAGAGAGAGAGACTGTTTGGTGACTTTTCTAACACCTTGCGTATATAATGAATCACATGAGATCCACCTCTTCTATTGATTCCTGTCTACATAGTCTTTTGTCGTAATTTTTATCGACTTCATTTGATTTTGTCTAAAGTAATTTAAACAGTTCATATATAAAAACTATTGAGACAAAAACAGTAATCAATCGCGAACCTCAAATGCACGTTTGTTTTTTTCCTCAGCCAAATTTCTCCTAAGTTTGATAAGCCTTTATTCATAGTACTTGTATATTCTTGATTTCCACTTAACTTTTTTGAGTCGGCAAAAGTTTGAACAATAAGTTAAACGAAAGTAAAGAGTTCACGCATGTCACAATAATCTCACGTTTTCAGATCTACCTGAACATGTTTCAATTTCGTCTTTTCCAATTCGGCCTTTAATGAGTATGTATTAGCTTCGACAGATGTTTATAGATTATCGACGGAACTTCCATTCTTACGTTTTTGCTATACAAAAAAGAGTATATAAATTTCATCTTATACAATCTGATATAGCGATCAGGAAGCATATGGTGTGTAATGAGCCATGACGATCTGAAAGCAGATCATAAGGAAGATTAACATGCTGGGGATTAACATGCAGTTGTCCCCGGATTAACCTGCAGTTGTCCCCATAGTCATGGATAGTAATGCACAATTAAGGAACCCCACTCTACCAACAAAATTGGTAGACCACAACGAACAAACAGATCATCAGAGATGCAACAAACAGATGTATCTCCTTGTCATGGAGAAAACCAAACCACAACTAACAACGCGGTTGCTGTGGCCACGGCCCAAGGGGACCTTTATCTCATTGCAACACCACATCAAAATAAAGTAATACCCGCCTTTGCTTTCTTAAAAGACTTTGGGCTTTTCTAGTTTCGCCGCCATCAGGAGAGAACTTAGCAATATCGTCAAGGCACTTTACAGGTTTGTCGCTAGCCTTCTGATAAGAAAGCTTGCTAGGGTTCTCTTGGTTATCGCGTATCCAGTATTTATAGAACTCAACAACATCCCAATCGTCAAATGAGTATCGTTAAAGTATGGATATTGGTTTTCGGTCATAGCGTTTTCTTCAAGAGATTAAACAACACGTGTCAGATTAATCGCGCAACCAAAACTCAGCAGATCAACCAAAATCCTGCACCAATTTTACCGACCCGGATTTCAAATTTTCTTATTGGAAGGATGTTAAGACGAAGCAATTAAAATTAAGGTTAGGGTTGTTCAGAGGTTAGGGAATTGGAAAGGGTTATACGTACTACATATACGATAATATATAACTATTTTTGTGTATACTGTATTCTAAAAAAAACTAACATTTGTTCACATGCAGGAAGTCGTCTAAAGCGGGATCGCCAGAAAAATTACTACGTACGTAATTTTTACTGGCACGTGATGATCGACAAAACAAGTCAATAATGAACCACGATTTAGTGTAACGTTACGCGAAATCAGAAAATTTCAAAACAAACTTTTGTCTGATACGCGAAAATCACCAGGCAAACAAAAAAATTGAATATTATAACTAAATAACTTGTTTGCATGGTCCATGGTCCACAAATAAATTTGGCTTGGTTGCGCAAGTTTTTAACAAAAGATCATATATATTTTTTAAACCGATATTTATGAGGTTCTTTAAAAAAATGAAAATTATTTTCATGCATCGATTTTTTAAAAAAGATAATGTAAATAAAAATTTTTTAAAGAAAACTCTATCCGCGTAATAAATGTTTTAAATCTAGATTTTTAGCAAAATTTTTCAAAAAGGTGGTTTCTTGTACAGTACGGATTTTTGAATAACAGGCAAAATGAATATTTGTTTTAAACAAGCCTTACGCTTGCCCATACGCTGGGAGTTTTTTAGCTGCTTTAGCATTGTTATCTTAAAATATTTCCATTTCAATAGCCAATCAAAATTTTAGACCAGGTATAACAAAAGAAACTTTCAATCACTAAAGTTGCTTTATGAATTTTTTGCTCTTTTCTAGCCAATATAATAGTGGAGCCAGACCCTAATTTAATAGTGAAAATCCTATTAGTAAAATATTTGGGTTGGTAATATTAGAGTTTTTATAAAGTCCAAATTGGCTGGTTCATATTAAAGCTGATAAATTTTAAACTCTGAATAGAGATCTCAGAAACCTCAATAAAAGAAGCACAATAGAAAATGCAAATAGGTTTGATTATTCAATTTCTATCCTATATTTCAAAAATAATTTATTAGAAATTAAACTTGTTATGTAATGTATACGAAGAATCACTTTGCAAAATTATGTAATTCCATATGACTTTGAAAAAAAATATTAATTGTAATTGAGACTGTATTTATAATGCTGGCCAAATTTAAATCTGATTTAAGGTTTGTGCTGGCTATAAGTTGTCAGTAATCACACAATCACAATTACTATAAAAAAATTTTTTAAAACCTTTGCAAAGCGCAATAAATAAATACTGGTGTGATTCTCCACGTAGTGATAGGATTCGTCAACTCGTGACTCGATAATTTGAGTTTATTGCGATTCGAATAATTCGTGAGATTAGCGAGTCAATTATATGATTTTTTTTGAGAGTTGGTACTTCAGTGAAAAAAGCTTCGATGTGCGCATGTGCGTTCCGACCATAAAAATCTTTTTGCGCACCAAAAAAAATATAATCATGTGCGCTTTGCGCACATTTTATTTTATCGATCTATTAAATAAAGTGTGCTATATATAGTTATATATTTTAACTTTAAAATCAAGTGCGCAATGCGCACCTAATTTTGATTCTGGATTTTTTACACTGCTAAATTGTAATTAATTCGAACCAATTGACTCAATCAAATGATTCGAGTATTCTTCATTCGTGAATCACAAGTTGAGACGAGTCCAGTCTATGCCAGATTCCCATAACAATCAGGCTTGAATATTTTGATTGAACTAATTTTAGTTTCATACAATAGTTTTGATGAAAATAGAAATATCATGTTTGATCACGTATGTAAATATCAATCAATTTTCCATATGAAATCTAAATGTAAACACGCCGATACAAAGGATTATCGCTCTCTTCAATTTAGTTGGATTTTGAGCCTCGTGAGTTCATGAATACAACATAGATAGCCATCTTATGTTCGTCGTATTTTGCAAAGCTTATTTATCGATAAAAGGGTAATACAAGTCACTCTCGTTGTAGTGAAGTTCTTGGGCTGTGAAAATTTCTTCACTATATCGAGAGATTCACTATATTGAGAGTCTTTCGATATGGCGAAGTCGATGATAATAAATTATATAAATCTTCACTATATCGAGAGAAATAATAAATTTATGCTCTCAATTAACAAGTGTTACACAAAGTAATATAGTTGCGTATGACAACTATTCCATTAATTTTATTGGTCAACACATGTCACACGATCAAGTCTTCACTATAACGCGAGACATTTTGTTATATCCGTTTTAAAAAAATCTTCATATATCTTATATCGAGAGTTTACTAATTAACTTCATTATATCGAACGAAAGTTTATTAATAATGATTTTGTTCTAAACAAATTCTTCATTATAAACTATAACGAGAGTTCACTATATCGAGAGTGACTTGTATCATTTTAATATATAGTAATTCATATTATTGTTTAGGTTGATATTAATGAGATTGATATTAACGAGGATCAAGTGTATTTTTTTCAACAATATCACCATTTTTAGCGGATTTCATATATCATTCAAATGCTTTTCAGTATCCTTAGCGACCCTTAGAGGTCTGCAAATTACCTATTTTTGTGGCCCGGTTCGGCCCGCATTTAATTGTACAGCTGTTTTCGTAAATTCTGGAAATCTGACAAAATTTGACCGACCGAATATTTGCCGATTCAATAAGTCTTGATAAACTTTTGATTTGGATGTGATTACATCCGAATCAAAAGTTTATCACTGCCGATTCAAAGCTTATCGAATCGGCAAATATTCGGGCGGTCAATTTTTTCCAGAATTTATGACAGCTATTATCATAATTTCTGGGACACTTGCTCATTACCCGAAGTCTTTTTGATCGTTCGTAAATTACCTAACTCTCCGGAAAATACATCGCTGTCTTCGGACCTTCAGTCCAGAGGCAGTGATGTTATCTCCGGAGAGTTAGGTAATTTACGAACGATCAAAAAGACTTCGGCTAATGAGCAGGTGTCCCAGAAATTATGATAATAGCTGGAAAACAGCTGTAAAATTTTTTGTCGGCGGCCCGCATAGATCTAGATTTTTATCGGACCCGCCCGGCCTGCAAAAAATTTGCGGGCTGGGCCATGAGGCCCAATGACCCCTCTTTTATTTCTATAGCATCACGCGACTTTGCATTGTCTACTAGTATTACCTCCTTCTTCAGATTTCAAATACCATTCGAATGCTTTATTTCATCTTTGATGGTACTTATGCCATTTTGATAGCAGTACTCAACACTATATTGTCACCTTTAGCGAATTTCAAATATTAATACCATTCAAATGCTTTGCTTCATCTTTAATCCGACAATATATTTTTAAATACTGGTTAGAAGAAATCTCATCATTCTGCTTATCGATCTCTCCAGAAATCTTATTTCTCATTGTCAATAAACACTGAAAGGAAATCCAGAGAATTTATTGACTTTTGAGTTTTCCTTGCAGTCATTAATTTATCATCGTCATAAACATTATAAACATTGACTTATTCCCGTCTGACAAGCCATGATATTATCTACTTGTTTGTCTAAATTCGAACCCGGTATCACCTTTTCCATATTGTATTACGATGATAATTGTGCTACTTATCTCCCATTTTTAACATGAATAAAGAAAGCCGAAAAAAAGGAAGAGATCGATTAATCATCTTAGATTGATCGCTTCACGTTGAGAATTTTCTTGTAGGTCCACGTGAGAACCTCAACTCAAACAACACCCACGTTTGTTTCTTAGAGCAATATATTGCATTAAGGTTTTAAAAATGCAAAAATTTCATACATCTGAAAAAAAGATTACAAGATATGATGCTAGAAGAAAAGACTAGCTTCTGATGACATTTAAAAATATCGTAATAATGAATCAACAAAAATCCAAGTGATGAACGTAATATTAATTTAATATTTACTATAACTAATTACGATTCATAAATCACGAGGTTTGACATCGTCACAAACAGTAAAAAACATTGGGGTAGCTATATCAAGAGTCCATTCTTTCTGTTTTTTTTTTTTTTTTAATAGTGTTTTTTCTTATATTATGAAAAGGGGAATGCACATGA